ATATGCACTTGATTGCGTCTTTATCTCCTATATTCTATTTAAGCTAAATATGAAAGAAATTTTTTTTTCCCATAGTTGCATTCTATTTTTAATCATACCTAGTCAATTTATCTCCATATCAACAAGGAAATTAATAGAATTACGGCGAAATGAACTCTATTAGTGCCAGCTCATAATCTTTGTGTGCATTTTTAAAATGGTAAAAATTAACGTTGTAAATAGACCAAATCAAAAGAACGAAAAACAATGAAATAAAATTATAAAAACTAAAAATAAATTCAATTAGATATATATCATACAAACTCAATTAGATATGTTTTTTTTTTTTTCATGTAAACGATATTTTGTAATTTGTATTCAATACTGCCACTGAGTCCCAAATGGGGAACCATGAGATTTTTTTCATTTATAAAACTCAAACTTGAGACTTTACTTAGAAGATATCAAGTCTCTTATTTTTCATCCAACCATATATACATATGGCTATATAGATTAGATTTGAGCATTGTGAAGCTCAATTAAAGTAGTTCTTTCAAAAGTCTTTTCTATATTTATATGGATTTGAATTTCAGATTTTGTATTTAAAATATTATAATTCCTTTCACTAGGACCAATGCTTGTTGGTCTAACCAGATATTTTAAACAAATTGTATGCATGCATTATCATTGAAATAGTAGATAAAAAAAGAACCAATAAAAATTGAATCTCATATAAAGGATTAGTCCTTTACAATATGACGAACCAATATTTAAATATATGTTAGAAGAGGTACTTATATTTAGTATGCAATTGTATTATGAATAAGATTGTTTCTAGAAAAATAAATGTGGGCAATCGAAAGACACAAAAGAAAATAAAGCAGGGACTGAAACTGAAGTAGTTATGGGATTACGTCACATACCAGAGTTTCTGCCAATTGCTCTTTCTTCTCGCTAGACCGCTTCTTCCATGCTCCATACCATATGATCTGTTTAAAGGACAACAATTTTTTTTTTTTGGGGGAATTCAAAGGACAAGCATATTAATTAAAGTCATAACTTCAACTTAGAGCCAAAAAACAGAGTAGAATATTAGAGCCAAAAAACAACAGAGTAATCTTTGTTGCCTTCTTTGATAACATCTATATGTGAATCAACAGTACCAATAAGCATAGTAAGCTTTAAAGTATTAAAGAACAAAAATCACGTTACCCGGTTTCCATGGATGCTTCTGAATATAGAACTCTGCAAACAACCAAGCGTTTCGGTCTGCGAGGAGAATTGTTTGAGACCATGAACAAGATTTTCGACAAGAACAACGGTTGGTTTGAACACGAAGAAACTTAAGTCCAGATTTTTGCTGTTGAATGGGACACAGCAAGCCATGATTTCTTTTTTGTTTTTTGTTGGTTCTTCTGTTGAAGTTTTCGATCGGGTCTGCGAAACTGAGGATAGGATTCAAATATGAGAAGGGAAACACAGAACGCGCCTACGACAAGCTTCGATCAAAATCTTCACACAAAGGTTGCTGCTTTATTGAATCATTCCAAATATTGAATTTATGCAGAGGAATTCAGTTTCGCTTCTTTATTTTGTTTAATTTGTTTCAGTAAACAACCAATTTAATTTGATCAATATTATAAAGGAAGAAGACTTTGAAAGACTTTGCATCACGTTTGTTGACTGGCTCAACTTGTTTGCTTCTAAGAAACTTCTCTTTGATTTTTGTTCCTAGAAGCTTTTTGAAATTTACTAATCCTTGGGTTTGAATACGTTGTTGTCTAACCTCGTTGTACTGAGATGGTATATGATGCAAGCGCGTTTGGTTTAGGGCCCATCACTTGATGAGCATGGTGCTCTGTTCATCATTTGATGAACAATACCGTCTAGTTTTTAAAATTTTATTTTATATTTATGATAAAAAATTATAAAGTTTTAATAAATCTATCTTATTATCAATTTATTTGAATGATTTAATTTATTATTAATTTTTTATAATCTTTATAAATTAATTACCTAGATGTATTCTAGACTAGCTAAATGTAATAATAATTTTTTTAGAATTTTATAAATTCTTATTTTAATAAATAAAATATTAAAAAATAAAAATAAAGATAATATTCAAAAGCATCATTTTAAAAGAATTTTAAAAAAATTACAACTTGAAAATTTTAAATCCAGATTATTTAAAGTATATTTGGATAGTCAATTTATAAAAATTATAAAAAAATTTAATATTAAATTGAACAATTCAGATTAAATTTATATTATCCAAATTAATAATAAAATAAATTTATTAAAAATTTATAATTTTTTATAATAAATATAAAAATAAAATCTTAAAATCTGAATGGTCTATATCACTCATCATGTGATGAGCATCAAAACTACAATAAACTTAGTGCATGTTTGAATAATTTCTAGGATCAATTTTAAAGGTTAAAACCATGGTAGATAATTACACTTATTTTTATTAGATTACATGGATGTGATCAATATCCATGCTGTATATTTTAGTAGTGTTATCTTTTATTTAAATAAGAAGGACTAAATTGATATTACAACAAACTTAAATGATTAAATCAACAAAAATTAAATTTAAAGCATGAAATTGACGATTAAAATAATTTAAAGGATTAAAAATTTTATTGTCCCTTTAAAAATTTTTAAATTGAGAGAAAGTAAACTGTTAGTTTACAGATTGCTATAAATTTTTATTAATGTTATATGAAATTTTATACTTTTGCGTTAATAAATTATTTCTAGTCAATTTTGTTCTATTATTTTTTTGTCATGTTTTAATAATTATAAAATGAAAAATGATAAAGTTATTTAGAAAATTAAGGTGAAAGTAAATTGTGATTGAATATTGTTAAACATTATTGCATTTTGAACATATTTAAATTTAAACATATATGTTTTATTTTTTATAAATATTATACATACATACATATATTAATTTTTATATATACATATAAAAAGACCTATTAATCTCTGGTTTTGCATTTGGCTTAGCGTTTAAAATCAATTTAAATGTATTGTAGAAAGTTCTGATGGGGTCATCACTTTTGCATCTGCTATCTTAAGTATGACTTCTTAAAAGTAAAAAAGATTAAAGTATACAAATATTGTTAGAAGTCCAAGGTGACAAGCTAAAATTTAAAAAAAAATTAATTATTTAATTCCTATAGTTTTAATATTCACAATATTTAAAGATTAAAATATTAAAATTATAATATTTTAAACTTTAATATTTATAATATTTTGAATTTTAATATTTAAAATATTTATAATATTAGTAATAAAATTATAAAATTAAAATTATGTTAAAATTTGTTACTAATATTTTAAATTATTAGATCATTTTAATCTTTATAAATATTAAAAGTTCAACATATTTTCAATATTTTCAATTTTATTTTTTAAAATATAGGGGCCAAGATTTAAGTCACTAGAATTATAAGGACTAAATTGTAAAAGATAAAAACTAAAAGATTAAGTTATAATTGAGTCAAAATTATAAAATTAAATGATTAATTTTTTTTAAAAAAATTCTCATTTAAAACTCTGATGTCAAAATGATGAAAGCATTTAAGCACAAAAAGTGACGCAGCCACATAATTATGATTGTGATGAACCTGGCCTTTTGTAACGAGCTTCTTGTAAATGCAATTAAGCCTCATGGAAGTTGATGAAAAATTATAGTTTTCCTGGTAGTTGAGGGCCCACCATAAAGTTTTCTTTTATTATTATTATTTTTTAACAGGTATCCTCTTGAAGATAATCCATCATAATATTGATCAGAAGCAAATTAGATACAAAAGAGATATATCATGTGTCATCTTCATACTTACAAGACCATTTAGTATATGAGTTTAGCTGTAAATTCAAGAAACTAGACAATGAAACTTTCTCCTGACCTTTAGTTTCTTTATCCAAATTGACCAACCAGCATGATAATTACCAATAAGCACAAGGGAGGATGAGGACAGAGTGACTTTAGTGAAAGAGCTAAGGTTCCATTGACAAAATTGATGAAATAAAGCATATTAGCTGTTGAACTCTCTCATCATGTGTTGATGGATGTGTAATAAGACCCTAATGAATTGATAGGTTCCTTGAAAACCAAATGACCATCCTGATAAAGTTTCTTGAAAGCATGCAAAATTCATTCAATAATTTCCAGTTTGGGAAAATTTCGAAGTACGGATGGATGGACAAGCAAACCACAAAGACTTGGAATAACTATAATGAGCAAAAACATGATCTAACGTCTCATCTTTAAAACTATCTTAAGTATGTTTTATTGCCTAATAAGGTACTTATTTTTTTTTTCCTCGAGTTAAAGGATATTTTTGCTTCTCAATTATTCACTTGAAAAGTTTGGTTCCCTAAACTTACATGTGTTGTAATTTTTCCTTTTAACATTTAAAAATGTGTATTGGACACCTTGCTATTAAAAAATAATAACAATAACTTTGACCATTAGTAAAATTACAAAAAAAGGCCCCCCAAAATTACATTTAAATATCCTATAAAAAAATTAATATTAATTAAATCTCTTAAAAACTATTACTTCATCCAGTTCTATTTAAAAGTCATTCCAGCATTTGCAACATAATCAAGAAAAACTTTAAATTTTATTATATCTGTTTAAAAATTCAACAAGCTTCCAACATTACCTCATTAAATATACATACTTTAAAAATCAAATGCTTAGCATTTAATAATCTTCCCAACATTTAATAAGAGCACAAGAGTAAAAATCAATACAATAGTCATTGAGATGTCCTATAAATAAGATCAAAATAAATACTCTTTCTCTACCCTGTATAGAGGACAGGAGAAGTAGCTATGGAGAGATTCACAGAAGCAATGTTAGGAAAATGATGTCAATATAAAATACAAAAAAGTAAAGGAAATTGCATTATTCAAAAGCTGCCAATAAACCAGCTCATATTGGGCACTCTATCATGTAGCATGATAGCGCTGATAATGAAAGGATAAAGGCAAACACCAAAAAAAAAAAAAAAAAGACAAAATGGAAATGTATTTCTCATTATTGCTATGTGAATGTGGATGGAAAAAAGGAGAGCTTTCCATCCTGTGTTAATGATACAGAAGGCAATTTCATAAATGATACGCCTACAGCTAAGTTAATGGCGACATGCCATTAAGCTCGCAATTATCAAACAGAAAGGGAAAAATGTCATAGTATGCCACAATGTGCTTATCTAGGAGGGCCACCCATTCCAAAAAGGGCAAGACATCCTACAAATGAATGTAAATTATATCTTAGTTTCCCGTTCATAATCTGCTCATCCATGTAAACCATTCCTGATGCAAAAAAGAGGCTCGGATCCACAAGCTTTGCCTCAACTTACTATAAGTCTATGGGGACTCTCAAACCATCACGTGCAAGCTGAACTGGAATTCCCTCCCTAAGCACAAGTACCTAAGTTACTCTCTCGTTTGACCACATATACAGAATAAGATAGATCACTTAAAATTACTTGCGCATCAGATTCACAAGGCCTCATTTTTTATGAGCATATCAGTCATTACTCAGGCCCTTTTGGTTTTTGCAAAGGAAGGGGAATGGGATGGATTAAAGAAATAAGGATAAGAATAGAATGATCAAAACATGAAAGAGCAATTATTTAACCATGTTTATGAGAAAGATAATTTAGTTCATGAGGTGAAGAATCAGGATTCATAACATTTATAAAAGATATGGTGATTCCCATATTTGTGCTAAGTGGTATAAGGTTTTACTATATTTACCATGAGTGGGAGGGCAATTTCGTTCATTTCTCTTCTCATTTCTTTAATCAATTCCATTCCCATGTTCCTTAGCAACCAAACGGGTCCTTGATGTATTTACAGAAGGGAAACTATGATTGCTTTCAAGAAATGGCCAGAACATGTACCTTTTGGACCACTCCATCAAGTATTCATTGTCCTTGTGGTAATCAAATTCGTGAGTCATTCCAATAAATAGGGTCTGCTTGGGACATAATTTCTTCACAGCTTCAAGAGCCTGTATGATTATCAATTGATAAAATTAAATTATCAGCTACATAAAAGTATAACATCAGTTTCAAAATGCAATGCAAACCTGCGGAAGACAAAAGTGCACGTTATGAGATCCAGTCTGCAATAAGACAATACAGAACATCAAGAAGGAAACATTTGTTATTGGGAAGTCTAGCAATAAGAAAATATATAAGGAACTCAAAAACAAGTATGACAAATGCAAATATGAGGGAAAAGGTCAGATAATAATGGGGTCGCAAAAGCAAAAAAGATGTGCCAAAATATTTGATCAACTGATAATCGTTATCTCTTTGAAGATGCTAAATGTAATAACAATGACCTTCTTATTGAAATAAATTAGTGTCCGGAATTTCTTTCATGAGATGTCCATAAAAGATTGAGAGCACAACAAAAATGGCAAGCACACCTACTTTTCCATACATAATTATATAAAAAACAAAAGTCTGGATTCCTTATCAATGATAATTTCTCTCAAACAGAGGTGCTTCAGCTCATTCTGGTACAATTTACAATCTTCAAACTCTTCTGACAAGCATTACTGGTGGACCACTCCAAGAAGGCTAAATTCCCTCTTCCAAGGATCATCAAATGAATCTTGGAGTTACTAAACTAAACTAAAACTTGTGAGATATATCTACCGATAAATTTAAGATAATTTAGCTTCATTTTGATTGCCAGTGCTTCTATGTCCTTTGGATATATACTACACAATAGCTTTAGCAGAATGTTAAAACATAGTTACATATCAAATACAGGATTTCTGCAATATATTGAAGATGGATATTACTGACCTTGTATAGAGCGTCCAGTATAAGAAGATCCAACTGCCCAGATCCACTTTTTGAAATGACTGAAAAAGAGAACATTTATGGCCAAATGTCAGAAAGCGCACTGCAGCAGGGGCTTTCTGATAGCTTTATAAATTTAGCACGTTCTTGAAACCTGAAAAAGGACTAGTTTTTGGGAATTCCTTTGAAAGTCGTACGTCAAATGGAGTTGTTTTACTGAGTTGATATACTCTTTTCACGTTTCTCCACATTAATCACATGCTACAGGCACAGTGTCACTCTTTCTTTATAATAAGGTGCCATTTTATGGTTTTTCTCCTCCAAAAAAGAAAGAAATCACTGGGTTTTTTTTTTTTTTTTTGCAGACATACAAGGCTTTTTGTCAAGAAGTGCCACAAAAAATCATTAACGGCCCACTGATTATGACCAATGTAAGTTTAAATAAGAGCATGAAGAGTTGATGGTAAAGAAAAAAGGGCATAGACAGTTGATAGGTAACTTGGAAATCTTGATGACCTGTTGTATCCGATTAAGACCAATGTAAGTTTAAATAAGAGCATGAAGAGTTTATGGCAGAGAAAAAAGGGCATAGAGAGTTGATAGGTAACTCCGAAATCTTGATGTCCTGTTGTATTCACGCACATTTTATTAAAGAATGAGAATATTAGCTCAACTTCAAAGACGATCAACAATATTGTACCTTATCAAATTAATAAACCATTAATTGAAATCCAAATAGAAGCCAAGAAAACAATTCTATCCTGTAAAATATGATATGCAAGAATGTTTACCTGAAAAATTTTTCTTCAAAATTTTATAATGCTATCACATAACCAAAGATTAAGACAAACAAAGAAACAAACCCATTTACGGTAATGGACAGAACTATGGATGTCTATATAGCATTGCAACTAAAGCTATGATTCAGATGAACTGTTTGGCTCATTTCAACCTTACAATGAAAGCAAGTTAATGCATCGTCTCTCGTAACAAGATGTTTTGACTTCGAGTCAAAGGTAATTGACATCAAAAGATCCATAACTGTAAGAGTTTTTAAAATAATTCCAAACTTTTGTGAAACAATCTATTGAATAGTCTCCTACAACAGTTCAAGTCTAGCTTTGCAAGATAGCACCAACACATAAATTTCCAAAAAGGAGAAAAACTGATTCAACACATACCATATTCTGTGCTAGCAGGGATCCGTGAAACATCAGATATATAAGCCACCTTGTTTTTCTCACCAAAAAGAAAGCCCAAACAGATGTAGTCCTCCCCATGCATAATCTACAACCAGAAAAGTAGAAAGTCCTTATATATCACTGAATTCTTATGGCAATGACAAAGATTTGTGGTTATTAACTGGTAGAGGAATAAACTTCAAGCCTGATGCATGAAATGGTTGCTTGCAGTCATCGCTAATTATATTCCAGTCCATCTGAGCCACTCTTCTTATTTCTTGCCCTTCCTTCTGTTTCTTGTGAACCAAATAAGGGAACTTCTCTGCTATACTGTTGTAAATATGTAACATAAAAATTCAACTACCATGTAGCATAGGTAGCCATAGAAAGCAAATGAAATGGATATAAATATAATGCTGACATAAGTTCTATATAATAACTACACAATTGTTCAGTTGCACATATAAATTTATGCTTGGCAGGTGAACCCATATCATATTAATCTCATTGATATAAAAATACAGCTGCGACAATTTAACACTAGAGTAAGGCTAGAAAAGCTTAATTTTCTAAATGAACCCATTTTCTATGACTGATTTTTTGCATTTAATTATAAAATCATAGCAATAAGAATTTCAAAACTTATGTTAAATTTGAAGAACCACATTACCTTTGATTTCTAGAATTGAAAAAGTGGCACGACTTTTGCCTATTATACTAAAGAATTAGTTAAATGCAAGAGAAGAGTTAAAAGAAGACAAGTAGTAAGGAGGTTTGAATTGCATAACTGACCATAAATATCATTTATCCAAGAGAAGAGTTAAAAGAAGACAAGTAGTAAGGAGGTTTGAATTTCAATTATCTGTAACTTTAAACAAAAAGCTTAACCAGGAGCATGAGTGCTCTACATTAAAACTTCTTCCTTCACAAAGTAGTGCAAAATATATTAATAGCAATGCTAGTTGCTGATATTGCTATTCTGAAATAGTGGTTTGAGAGGTATCCACTGCTCCAGTAAGACAACCACAAATGAAAGTATACAGTTGAAATATGAGATCCTTCTCAATTCTTTATTAATTATGAGGGATCAATTCAACTTCAACTCAATAACTTAAGCCATGTGTGAAAGACAACTATAAGTTTAGTATACTCTCTACAATACATTTCCATGTGAAAGCCTCCAGAGCTTTAAGTGAGAACAGAGAACATGTCCACCATACCTTGTGCTGAATAATAATTTTATTTTGGAGATAGAGGGTGATAATGATCGAATTCTGATTATTTAGTCATAGAAACTAATATAATGTTAACGAAAAATTCAACCCAATAGCTTAAACTTATTAAGTGATGGAGACAGGACTTTGTTACAATCTACGAGACAAATAAAATATATGAAAAGTAGAAATTACCATAACCATCCATAAATTTAGTCACCTCCCCTTATTTTTAAAATAGATAGAGAAAGTAAGTGTATTAAGTTCAAATCAGAGGAAATAGTAAGTGTATTAAGTTCAAATCAGAGGAAGTAGTTGTAATATTCTCAGTAGATAAATAATATATACAAGAGCAAGGATCAAAGGTTATTAGAGATACCTATCCATAGAGTGACGACTTAAATATATGGGCGTGGGATCAATATCATTTGTAGGACTAAATGGCTGTACAGCACGCATATCATCCAATCCAAGGACTGCATCAGCATGTTCGTGAGTCAAAATAATCTGCATTCAAACAAAAAGGAATTTATTCTCAGAGAAAGTGAGCATCAGCTTGACAATTACAAAACAACCAAGAAGTAAAATATATCAGGCAAGGTGCTTTCGAATTCTAAGCATCAATAGCAATTACCATTTGCAAAATGTGCAGATTTGTCAGCATCTGATTAGTTATGGAGTTTTTTGCAAATGATTTTTTGACCCCTTTTCTAATCAAAATTTTGTATTTTATTTAATACATATATCAATGACCAAACACCACACACATCTCAGTAGTTTGGGAATGTGTCAAGTTGTCTTTGCTTAGTAGCAGCAGCAGCAACAAATCTTATTCCACTAGGTAGGGTGGGCTACATAGATTGCACAATGCCATTGTGCTCTATCAAGAAAAATTCCCACTCAGTAGTCTACTTAGCATTGAACAAAAATTCCAATCATAATTACAACATGTAATGGAGGAAAGAACAACCCTAACAATGAAGAGATGAGGAACAAAATAGAAAATGAAGCCCCAAACTTGAAGGTAAAGATGCTTACGACAAATAGATGATGTATGATGCCCTTCCTCTAAGCTAAAACCATTAGTATATTGATAAATAAAAATAGGAACCGACTTCTAATCCTTAAAAGACTAGAATGAGGCAATGAGTTCACATATGCTACAACTTCGCATGAAGGAAGTTATCGGAACTCATTGGCATGTGTTAATTATTCATACACATATTGCAAGTACACAATAGTTAAGAAGAAAGTTCATGCAATTCAATGTGTGAAGTAGTGGAAGGCAATAAATATGCTTGAAAAAAATACCCATATGCCAAATGAAATAGATCGTTTCCTCTCATTGAAAGATATTTGAATTTCATCAAAAGATGAAAATCTTCATCCAAAAAGTCATAAATTATTTGCTACAATTTTGCAGCTTTTATAATTTTCTTATCAAAATCTTGTGTTTTGTTTTCTACATTATTGATCAAACACCATGGTACTTGAATATTTTTGGCATGTTTGCAGCCATCCCTGCTTAGCATTGAATAAAATCAACTGCAACTTCAAAGCACAAGGATAGAGAATAGAAACTGACACACGAAATGATAACATAAAGCTACATACAATAGAAAGATTATTTTAAGGCAGAAAGTTATAGGCTAGTTTCTATGCCTCAAAAAGGTTATTAAGTCATATTTCAACATTGTATGTACAGTGCTAAAAACAATGAGCTTACTAACAGCTGCATATCAAGGAACCATCTCTAACTTGTGAAATTGCAGAAAATGCTTGTATCCTAAGGCCTCAACAGAGTTTGGTAACAAGAATCTCAACAGAGGGCATACAAGGTTAGATTGGTGTTAAATTGAAATTGAAATTTTAAAGTAAAAATCATCATTGTTAAACGTTTTAGAGGATTGACTCACAGAATCAACTCTTGGAATCTTATGGAAAGTAAACCATCTAAGTACTGTCTCCCGAAATGTCTTCCCAACATCAATCAATATATAGTTGTGTTTACCATCACTTTGGCAATAATCAATTAGAAGGGATGTATTGCACCTGCATGGGAAAAAAGAATTAAAAATGCCACTAAATCGACACAATTTCATAGTAAACATATAGAGAAACAGGAGAAAACCAATCACAATATATACAGTGAAAAAGCAAAAGCACGATCCAATATCGCTTCAACAAGTACGGATGTTGTTCAAATATCAAGTGTTATTCATTTTCTAAAATCCCTACAGTATCCAAACAGTAACACCACGTTCTCTTTTGGTTCTGTCCCCGTCCACATTTCTCTAAGGCTCATATAAAGAACATGTCCTTGTTGGCAAGAATGGTTCTCTAAAAAGCAGAAGAAGAAGAAAGTTGTGCACAATGTCTTTAGGACAACATTTTCATTTAAGCTTAATTAGCCCCAACCGATTCCAATATCCGGGTATAAATTGGGTTGCTGGTGAATTTCCTTTAGAATACAATAAATACACTTGAGTATGGTTTGCACTCCCAAGATTTAAGATGAGACAACAATGGTATTTACAAAGTGATAATTTGACCTTTTCTCTCGCGTGCTCAAAGACAAAGGTCATGAATTTGGATAGATATTCAGATGTAATAAATAAGCGATGATGAGGGATATTTATAGATAATGAAACAATGCATTGAAGTGGTTCTTTTTAAGAAATAAAACTTTTTCCTTAAAAGTCATATCCCTTGTGTTGTTTCATGAACCAAAATAGCTAAAATAATTAATAACCACGGTTATTTAAAATAACCTTTCATGAAGAGGAACATCCTTTTAACATGTAGAACTTTCTTGGAAAATAACAAATTCCTTTCATTAAGTGGTGGTTACTTCATCTTTTGGTTTTTATAACATTCCAAAGGTACCTTCAGAAATTGCAGTGACATGATCTTGGCGACTTTTAATATTATAAGACCCTAGCTAACCCTTAAAAAAAATTCCTTAATTTATAAGGACATAATTTATTTATTTTTGACTCTTCATTTTGAAAATATTCCAACAGACCAACAGTCCATCGCTATAAGCACAAGGAAGAAAATACTGTTCAACAATAATGATACCAATAATAAAGCTTTGTCTCCCATTGCATTAGTTAACAAAGCTTAGTCCCATTGCATATTGCTCAAGAACTCAAATGGAAACCATTTCCTGTACTAAACATTGCCTTTCTAAGCTTTCAAAACCAACACTGGTTATGATATTTAAGTTGTTAAATGATTCATTCCCTCCGAAAGTCAAAAACAAAAGAAGACAATCGACACCACATAACAAAAACGTATGTCATGCCTCGCTCCCAGACAAAAAGTAACGAAACATTCAACATTATTAGTCCCCTCTTGTTTACTGAAATCGTCAAGGAAAACAAGAGCGAATTACATAAAATAGTTCCAACTTGAAGAAAGTAACCAAATCACAACCCAAATACCAGATACAAATACCTGTAATTAGGGTTGCGCTCAGGTGGGACCGACAATGCCTGGAAACAGACGGTGCAGGGAGGATCTGCTGGCTGGAGCAGGCACATCAGGTTTGGGACCATGCTGGAACACCCGGTCCCAAGAAAGATCAATGCCGATCCGGCGCCTCCGGAGACGGCGTCGGACGGAACAGGGTGGTGGCTGTTGTTGTCAATGGACATAGTTTGGTGAAGAAAAATTGCATGGAAAAAGAAAGGCAAAAGAAACGGAATGGAAAAGAAATAGTTGTCCGTGAAAAGTAATACAGCTGCCAAGTAAGAAATTTGGGAGAATTTCAACAAGCAGGCCAAGGCAAAAGAAACGAAGGACCACAGTAGAATCTTATCTAACAATGAAGCCCAAATAATTATGAAAATACACTAAGAGCATGTTTGGATAAGTGAATTTAAATTAAAAATTTAAATTAAAAATTTGGTATTTAAAATCTCACATTTAAAATTCATAATATTCTAAATTATTTATTTGGATAATATAAAAATTTTAAATTATAATACTAAAATCTTTTATTTAGATTTAAAGTAAAATTTTAAATTTTAAATTTGAATTTAAAAGAAACTTGAATAACTGGTTAAAGTCGATATTTGAATAACAAATTTCCATTAAGATCATATAGTCAAAGTCGATTAGGACTATAGCATCGACGATGATTGGGACAGGACAGCTAATTACCAATAGAACTGCACCGACGAGATGACGACAATCGTACTATTGACTTCCACCAGGACTAGACTGATAGCGACGACAAGGACTGAACGGCTTCCTTCCACTAGGATCGAATTGACAACGACAATAGGAATTAGGCTATTGCCTTCCACCAAAACTGGATCGCCTATCTCGGTGGAAGTCGCCCGTCTGGTATCGATTATTGTCATAGGTCTAGTTTCAGTCATCACAGTTAGTCCAGACCTAGTGGAAGGGGGTTTTCAATAGTCCAATTCTAGTTGTCGCTGTTAGTCCAATCCTAATGGAAGGAGATCTTTGACAATTCAATTTCGATCATCGCCATTAGTCCAATCCTAACGAAAGTCGGCGAAATAATTACATTCTAGGAATAATTTATATCAAACAAGCACTCACACTTCTTGTGAAATAACTTACTTATTTCATACCGATGTCACACACTATAAACTTGTTACAAATGTATTGTATTTAAGATGAAGATGATGAAACTTTCTGTAAGATAAGTTCAAACTTCACCTCAACAGCGAGCTAAACTTTTTCTTCTTTAGCCCAACATAAAATCTGTACATTAAATCGACAAAAATTACTCTAAATGAGACATTTAAGTAATTGCATTGTTCATAGAAGGAGCAAAATGGCCAATTACATGATTTACCACTTCATTCTTAAAAGAGGATGGGGAAATGAGAAGTTGTGTGATGAGGTAGAGTTTAACAACTTTGTGCATATTTTCTTCTATGTTTTTTAAACTATTTTTCCTTTCATTTAGCAAGGTCATTTCAATCATTTGGCATCACAATTTTATTTTACTTTAGTCTTAAAATTCTTTAGTGTATTTTCTGAATTGTTTGGGCTTAATTGGTAACTGAGGTTTTAATGTGGTCCTTTATTGAAATTTTCCTAAGAAATTTTTGTTTTGGACCCAAAGAAAGGAATATTCAAGGCAACTTCAGGCCATTCATAATCCGCCAAGTCAATGGTTCCCTTTCACTCCACGTTTCTTCACGTGACAAATATGAAATATGTAAATTTTTTTAAATATATATAAATATATATTCCCATGAGAAAGCATTTTGAGCTCATCTAAACTTTATGACTCCACACGCAAATCACTGTTATAGAGCCGTGTAAGCCACTTGGCTTGTTGAGTTACATGGTCTTATTTTTGGGTACATGCAAAGCTTAAAATCTGGGGAAAAAATAAAAACCACACCTAAGTCCACTAGAACATATTTAATTACCAAGAAATCTAAAAAAAAAAGAAGCACAAAGTACTCCCAAATTATAAGTTCTACACATTTGTAATTTGATGAAGAGCATTTATAATTGAATAAAGGACAATGATAACTTAAATATAAGTTTAATAACAAGTTATAATTGTCTTCTGTCAAGTGTAAATGCATAATATTTAAAAGCTAAAAATATTTTGAGCATTTCATCACATTTCTAATTAAATATGTTATATAAGACTTAGGTGCGATTTTCTCCAAAATCTTGAATTTCGTGTGGAGCCTCTTCTTTTCTACTTGTGTTGTCTTTTCCATGGTTGAATGAAATTTAATTCATGCAATAAAGCTTCCCCAGTAAAACCCATCCCTCAATACACATCACTGAAAAAAAAAACCTAACCTCTTTTCTTGACTGGAAAGTAGGATGGGATGAAAAGTTTTATCAAAGAGCTCTATTGCAATGGAGTCGGTCAAAGAATGCAAGTTTGAAGTAGTCTTCTTCAATTAATATCACTTCCCTTTTATCTTCAACTCTTGGTTTATCTTATTCTTTTTCTTTAGGCACGGAACCTTAGATTTTATCTGTGGAAGACTCATTCATTGGGTGTGGGTTCTTAATTTCTCCCCCTCTATTTCTGATTCACGTGTTTTATATTGTAATTTCATATCTTTCAATATTCATTCTTCATCTACAATCTCTATTGCAATCTTCCAACCTTGCGTTTAAGATAAAGTTGCATTTGATTTTTTTTGTTTTTGGTTTCAATCTTTTTAACAAACTTTGGAAAGCTGTAAAAAGAAAGAAATCCAAATTACCTTATATTAGAGCCATACAGGACATGGACATCAACTATTATAAAAATGTCTAACGTTGAAATAAAAGACTTTTTTATAAAGTTTGGACTATATCAGATATCATCTTTAAGTTTTATTCATTTGACCTGGTTCTAAATATTTTGACTGAACATATTTAAAACGAAATCTCCCATTAAATGCTTTTTGCGGGTGATATAATTTTTATTGTGGAGACAAAAGAAGAAATTATCTGCAAACTTGAGTCATGGAGGAGGACTTCAGAGTTGAAAGGTTTCTATCTAAGTAGGAGTAAAAAAATATTTAAATTGTAATTTTGATAAGAGATCAATCATAAAAATTTGAAAATGAGGTTGGGAGATCATAACATATCTCAAATGGAAAAATTTATATACTTGGAAGCTATTATTTAACATGATGTGAAGATTGATTGGGATATTGTATATAGGATACAAATTAGGTGGTTTAATTAAAAAAAAGCTAAAGGAGTTATTTGTGATTAAAAATACCTAATAAACTTAAAGGAAAGTTTTATTAAACTACTATAAGACTAATTATGTTATATAATAGTAAATATTGAGCTTTAAAAGGATAAAAAGAGTATAATATTGGTGTAGCAAAGATACAAATGCTGATATGAATATACGTGCATACATGAAAAATAAAATTCAAAATAAACATATATAAAAAAAGGTGAGTGTGACATCTATTGAAGAAAAAATGATAAAAATTATTAATATTGTTCAGACATTTGTTGTGAGAAATAACTTTGATCCTAGTAAAAAGGGTAGAGGAAAAAAAAAACACAGAGAGAAGTTGTTATACAAGACTTATTAATTAACAATATTTCTAAAACTTTGATTAATGATATAACATAATGACATTGTTCAATCCATATAACTAATCCCATCAAATGTGATAAAATTTGCAATGTTTTTAACAAACTCGATAGTCTTCTTTTCAGTTAAAATTGTATTTTATTTTGTTTCAATCCTTTAAACAAACTGGATAATTTTTGTGTGGTTGTGGTGGGTAGCACATGACATTGTGTTGACTGATTAAATTATAATGTTAATGTGTTGGCTAATTGGTCTGAACTCTATCTTCTTCATTAATCTTTTTAGTTCATTCATGTGCAGTACAAAATTCCGACCAAAGTTCTACAGTTCAACGATTAACAAATTCAACATGACACTTCATGCTATAAATTGTTGATGTTTTCGATGCTACTTGTGAATTTCTTATACCATAGCTGTTATTTCTTATACAAATAGTCACATGCAACAACCTCCAGTAAAGGATGTCAACCATCTAGATTGAGCATTCGAGCATGAGAGGCAATGGTGACAACTCCAAAAAAATGAAGACTAAAAAAAGACACGTAACATTTTAATATTAGTGAAACTGGAAAGCTTTAAATCTTTTTGGCAATAAATTTGCATTTCTAATGCAGCAACATTCACTCATGTAATGACATTCGATTCATTTTTCATTGATCCAAAATGTTATGCTGTATCATGCGAATGCTTTATCTTTACATCGGTTGCTTCTTCTGCGTGAATGAACAATCACACACCAAGGAACCCGAGTGTATGCAGTAGCATTAACAACATTATCATCTGTAAATTTAAAAGAGAATCAGTTTCATGGCCAATAAACCTAAATAGTGCTGGGGCCCAAACAATCAAAACATAATGTAATAAACTTACTTCAATTTCAACTTCATGGCTGGCGAGTTAGAGGCCTGTGAGGCTTTGGAGCTGAGAAGAAATAAAAATGAATCATAAATAGGAATCAAGAGGGAGGGAAAAACTACTAGTCCCCTGATCATGTCCAACCCATAATCAAAATTCTCCAGTGTCAACTATCAATTTCAAGCCTTTTAGCAGTATAAATTATTCTATCAAATAGCCTCAAACCACATGCAGTAACACTGGGATTATGCTTTTTGTTTTTTCCTTCCAAACACAAGATCAGGAAAGCAAAATTAACAGTCACGTGAATAAATAATAAAGTTTAGCAACAGTACTTATCCTACATGCTATGATATACTGATTCATTAACAGTTTCTACTAACGAAACTATTGAACCAAGTTAAACTTTTTTCTGATGAGCTTTGACTCAATAGTACTTTTAATCATCTCTGTAGTTGAAAGTTGAAACATTCAAGCTTGTATAGCAGCCGGAGTCATGTTTAAATAACAGTTAAAAATAGAAAAGAACAATCCAGCATGTTGGCTGCACTTTATCGCACCTGCCTTTGCTCTGCTGACACAACACACCTCTGCAACTTAGATGCATTTAAAAAATAAAAAAACCTGAATCGTCCAGATTTAATGCTTTAATTTTTATTTTATATTTATCAAAATAAAAAATTTATAAAATTTTTAATAAATTTAAGCACCTGTCTGAAAAATTCAGGTTTAATATAAATAGTCCATATTTATAAATTTTTTTGATAAATTTATTAAACAGTCTAGATGCTTCAGGTTTAATATGAATGATCCAAATTTATAAAAACAATTAATAAATTTAATCACCAAGCTGAACAATTTAGATTAAATATGAATGGCTTGATTAAAAGTAAAAATTTATAAAAATTATAAAAATTTTAATATTAAATTTACACTAACCAAAGTACACCTAAATAATCAGCTTATAAAAATCATAAAAAATTTTAACATTTAATTCGAACAATTTATATTAAAACTGTGCAACTTGGTGATCAGATTTATAAATTTTTTATTTTAATAAATATAAAATTAAAATTAAAATTAAAACATTAAATCTGGAATATCCAAATTTATTTGGACAGTCCAGATTTTTGTCATAATGCGGTGAAATTGCAGAGGTGCATTCTGTCAGCAGAGCAAAGCCAAGCCCCACTTTATCATACCACCAGTACATGCTTGTCAATGCATCAATGTGAAACAGCCCAAAGGCTAGCATGTGCTACGCTGCTACTCATTTTCCTTGTATATTTACTGGGAGTAAGATTAAGTACAAATAGAAGTTGCGACTTGTTCAAGGCCATCATCAAAATGGTATAAAATCAATTTGATAGGCACGGAGAATCGCCAGTTATTTTCGCCAATTCTCAAGGCAAGATGCACCCTTGATTTTTGCAATAGATGCTCTTGCTCTGCAAACTGGCTTTCACATTCACAACCAAACACCTTTCTTTTTTTGGTAAAAAAGAACATCACACGAAAATGAAGTGACAAGCAATAAAAAAAATTACAACTATCACCGCCTGACACTTGTCAAACAATACACAAACACATGCCAATGAATTAGAACAATAAAGCAAACCTGATGTCTTAAAAGATGCACCAAGCAAAACTTAGACATCTTACCACCTTTACAGACTTTCTATGAAGATTAAAAACATAGCAATATAGATGAGCAAGCAAATATGCATAGCTTATTCACTTTATTATGCCACCGGACCAGATATACTTGTCAATGCACCCCTGTATAACAGCTCATGGCTAAACTTTGCTACCCATTTTCCACGTGCATTTACTGGGAGTAAGATCAAGTACAAATAGCTGTTGCGACTTGTTCGAGGTCATTATCAAAACAGCATAAAATTAATTCATTAGGCACGGAGAATCTCTAGTGGAGTTAATTTTGGCAACCTTCAACGCAAGATACATCATTTATCTTTGCAATAGATGCTCTTGCTCTGCTAATTGGCTTTCACATTCACAACCAAAACTAGTTAAACACCACAAAAACACATACTAACGAACCAGAAGAACAATAAAGCAAACCTGATGCCTTGAGAATGCGCCTAGTAAACAAAACTCAGATAGCATACCATCCTTTGAAGACTATCAATGGGGATTAAAAATATAGCCATAAAGATGAGTAAGGAAAGATGTTGTAAAGCTTGTTCACTTCATTATGCCACCAACACAAGCTTGTCAAGGAATCACTGTGAAACGGCCCATGGCTAAACTGTGCAACCCATTTTCCTTACACATTCACCGAGTAAGACCAAGTACAAATAGATGTAGCAACTTGTTCAAGGCTGTCATCAAAACAATGCAAGAGCAATTTGATATGCACGGAGAATCGCTAGTTTAAGTTATTTTTGCAAACCTTCAAGGCAAGATACGCCATTTATTTTTGCAATAGATGATTCTGCTAATTGGCTTTTCATATTTGTGTTGAACACCATGTGTCTCAGCCCGAGAGTTTGGTGCCTCCTCTAGGGTTTCAGCTTATTCACTTTCCTTTTTATTGTATTTTAGTCCCTTTATTTTGCCATCAGTACATGGCTGTCAATGCATCACTATGAAACAGCCTGGGTTAACCTGTGCTACTCATTTTCCTTGTACAATTGAGAGTAAGATTAAGCACGGGTGGATGTTGCGACTTGTTCGAGGCCATCACCAAAACAGTATAAAATCGATTTCATAGGCATGGAGAATCGCTAGTTATTTTTGCCAACCTTCAAGGCAAGATGCCCCGTTTCTTTTTGCAATAGATACTCTGGCTCTGTTAATTGGCTTTCAAATTCACAACCAACACGCTAACGAACCAGAAGAACAATGAAGCAAACCTGATGTCTTAAGGATGCACCTAGCAAAAACCAAGACATCTTACCACCTTTACACGCTGTTTATGCGGACATATATATGACCACAGGAAGATGTTGTATAGTTTATTCACTTTACTATGACACCAGTATGTTTGTCAATGCATCACTTTGAAACAGCCAATGGTTAAATGGTGCTGCTCATTTTCCTTGTGCATTGACGGCAAGTAAGATCAGGTACAAATAGATGTTATGACTTGTTCGACACCATCATCATAAGAGAAAATAATTTATTCGATAGGCACAGAGAATCGCCAGTTCCAGCTGTTTTTGCCAACCTTCAGAGCAAAATGACCATTTAGTTTTGCAATAGATGCTCTTGCTTTGTTAATTGACTTTCACATTCACAACCAAAAACTTGTCAAACAACACACATAGACAAGAGCTAATGAACCATAAGAACAATAAAGGAAACCCCATGTCTTATGTGGTGCACTGACACTAACGCTCCCAAATGCTGTAAATTTTAGTGATTTACAACTACTTGCCATCTTAATGCCAAAATATGGGCCAAAAAAAAAAAAAGGAACTTACCATTTGGATTTCCTTGTTCATAAAATGTTCGCAGAAGAAGGACTGCTTCTGATGCCATTATGCCACCCGTACATTTGAAACCCTTTCCTGGTGTCACTTCACTATCAAATAAGAAGAAACATATGCACCATCAATATCAATATATATATAGTCCATTAGTAAAGAAGTAAAATGAAAATCATTTAAGGATTCCTTAATTAAGAAGAATATTTCCCTTTAAGGTAAACCATGAGAGGCATAGCCCTAGAGGTTCAAGACAAATAAAAGTTCTTCAATAGATAAACCCACCAATTACAAAAGAAATTAGGTACTTACTTTGAAGGTTTATAAATAATATATATTATATGAACTTGCAGAAGAATACAGAAAAGATCACCTTAAAAAAGCCCAACTGATATTCTCACTTATGTCCAAGCTATACAACTATACATCCATGCAGTGCAAGCAACTCTGATAGTCTGATGAACATTACTATGTCGCTGTCATAATCTCAAATCATGCAAATAAGATATTTCCACTTACTAAGCTCAAAATTCAGTCACTAGAAATAGAGGTCTTGAAAAAAATAAAAACATTTTAGAATTTAATTTTAAAAAATAACAGCTCTTCTAAAAATAATTATCAGTTTCCAGCTTTTTGGCAGTTAAGTACTCTAGATTTTTCTTTTGAAACTAAGTATAATCTTGTTAAAGCAGAAAGAGACAGATTGCAAAAGAATATGAGATATAAGTTCCGCTATATTAGAATTAGATTCCTAACGATCTTGGATCAACAAAACAATAAACAAAGATTCACAAACAACCAAAATGGCTTCCACTCTAGAAAACCTAGTATAATTGACATTTAATATAATAAGAGTTTAGAAGATGCTGCAGCTGCAGAGGCATACTTATTTATACTGTCGCCTGAATGTAATGCCAATATTGATCCACATCCTCCAAATTTATCATTTGCACATCCATAATATACCTCCCTTATACCTGAGGAAAAAATATGCCATTAAATGGATTAAAAATAGGGTCAAATGACTTAAACAATGTGCCTGTTATACATAGAATAATTGAAGTAGCATACCTAGAAATGATAAAGCTGAGGCACACATTATGCATGGTTCACATGTAACATATAGGCTACAGCTTGAGAATTTTGTAGCTACTTCAGACACTGAAATTCCATTTTTCTGCCACTGTTCCAGAAGAACATCTATAGCTTCCATTTCTGCATGCCTTGTGGCCTGTGAAGAAAGAATTAGTGAAATGGAAAAGATGAAATTGAAAACAAATGGAAAACAGGAAGTAATTACATGAATTAAAACATGCAACAATGGAAAATACATAGAGGTTGTTACTTCAAACCAGAAACAAAATTTCCCATTTTTCACCACACCTTTAATAAAATAAGAAAAGTTTGATTAGACTAAGTCAGGTCCTTTCCTTCCAAGAGGCAAAACAAAAAAATGGAACAAGAAACTGCCATTAAATGTGAGAACAATTAGCTTTGGAATAAAATGAATGCCGAAATTCTGTGAGATTACCCAACTACTCCTAAGCCTATAATAATGTGCAAGCTTAGCATTGATCATTAAAAAGATGCAAATTGAAACCTAGGACTAAAGTAGCTCCTTTTCAAGTCTTAAGGTTATAAACTATATACATTTTCAAGCAAAAGATCACATTTCTAATTTTAGAAATTGGATTTCCTTTTCAAAGTAGCATCCGCAAGTCCAGTCCAGTTGCTTCACCTTCCTGGAGCTGTAAATGTTTGAAACTTTCACTTGAAATTTAGCGATGACTGAAATTAAAGTTGTAGCACAAATATAACATGCTACTGCCTATTACTAGTAAACTGAAAAAGCCAAATCTAAGTTTCACAAGTTTAAGTTATTTCACTAGTGTAGGTTACAGCCAACAAGCACAAAGAATCTCTCCAAACAACAAATAGATGATTGAAGGAGCAGTCAAAACATGAAAGCAAGCACAAATGATGATAATATGAAATTAAAATAAGTCATTAATCAAATTACATTCCGCGTCTCAGTAGTTCGATTCCTCCCAAATGCTATAACCTTTCCATCCTCAACAATCACGCAGCTGGCAACATACATCATGGTTTAAATTAAATAAAAACTAATATATAAAATAATTGTTTTTCAATGAAAAAACCGACACAACCCGTTACATTGTATGATCAAGTAAAGAATAAACAAAGCCTTGTTCCAACAAAATGGAATCTCATTTACAAAATTAGACACCCATTTAAGGGCAAAATTTAGGAATAATATCATTCTGTGTTTGTTAGATTTCAACCATCCTTTGTACATTCAGAACCTTTGGGCCATACAAACAGAAATAAAATAAATCCTGCAAATAAATTGCTGAAGGACCAAAAACAGAGAAATGAAGAAGGCAGAAACAGGAGAAAAAAGGATTAGCAATATTTCATTCTTTAAAGGTGACTTGCTCTTTGGTTCATGTAGTTAGATTGGATGATAGTGAGAATAAACCACCAACAGGATACTTTCACGGCTAGCATACAACTAAGTACAGAGAAGATTTTAAAATTATTGACTGAAAATAATGGGTTCATCCTTGACCTTCAAATTCATTATGCAAATCTTGATGATATTCAAAATGATGAAGGGAGTTTAGATGTGAGAATGAACACAAATATGATTCCAGAATCAAGGGATATTGATAAAGTTTCAGAGGAAATGACTAAAGATAAGGAAGCAAAAGATATATTCATTGGCCATTAGATAAAGGACAAAAAGGTCACAAAGTAAATGAAATAATCTCATCGTATGTATTCATCTCAATTTTGTATTCGGTCACAAGCAAATAAATTTTAAAAGCTGAGTGGTGGAATATGTTTGATGCAGTTTCTTCTAGTTCCACGTCAAACAGCATTGCAAAGAAACCTTCCATATTAAATTGCAATGCAGCAAGATTTGAAAGAAAATGGAGCATGTTTGGAAAAATGCACATACAACTATTTTATTGTATCATGCAAGAGAATAACAGTGAAAGAATTTACCCAACAGGAACTTCAAGGACATCCAAAGCTATTTTTGCCTGCAACATAGAAACAAGCAAGAGCATAAGGAAATAGTTAAGTTTTAGAAGAGTAAAGGTATATTTAGCAAAAATCCCTTTATATTTTAATCTATAAGGTTCGCTAAGTGACTGCTAAGGCAACTTATAAGAACCCACACACATATTGGGTGCAACTCTCTTTTTACACCTACATTTTCAACTGCCCTACAACTAATGCCGTGTCTTAAGTGTCTAATGATCATCACTTAACTACAACTTCTTTTCCATTTACAATTACAATTTCAAACAAATTGTTCCCACCTTCTGTTACTACAGTTTGACCATTATATATATTCCACAAGTGCATTAATTGTGCTACCTATGCTTTGAAATTATATATTTGAACTTAAAGAAAGAATACACCAATAACTAACACTGTGACATAAACATAATTGGAACTGCACAAACAGGGGATCTAAAATCTATCCTTGTAAGTATGATAGAAAGATCATAGCAAATACCTGCTGTAAGGCAAGTTCCATAAATGCATTAGTATCTGTCAAGCATTCTTCTAGCGGAGAGGTCATCTTGATAAATTTGTAATAAATTAATCATAAACAAGCTTATAAACCATTCAAAATTTGATTGCCCCTGAACTGCAACCACGAAAATGAAAAAAGAAAAACAACAATTAAAATGGTCAAAACCATTTCATAATCTTCAATACAAATAAACTTACTTAAATATGCACAAGTTATCTCTAAAAGTGCAGCATGTCTCGAAAAGAAAAACGGAAAAAGGAATATATATATATATATATATCGCAGGGAACTGAAAACTTACCACAATAAAGTCCATATAGAAAACATAATCAATATTCTTGTCGCTAAAATGTTCATCCCAAATGTTTATAATATGAAGTGTAAATCCATTTCTTCTTCTTGATTGCAGAAGGCCAAATTCACACTTTTGAAACCAAACCCACGAAGAAGTGATATTATGGAATTCCGTTACACTGACCATGGCCACATTTGAGCAAAAAACCGAATGACAAGTTAGCCTAGGCAGCAATAAGATGGAGAAGCCTTAGCATAGTAGCATGAAGATTTGGAACGGCGAGAGCGAGTGCGGCTGGAAAGCGAGAGAAACGGATGAAAAAGGCTAAATAAGCTTTGGATTCTCGAGTGTGGAGGGTTAGAAGGCTTAATGATAGGGATTTAGCATTTTGGGTTTTTGGGTATGTTTGGGATGGATTTCAAAATAATAATAACTAGGATGCCTCTGGGTTCAATGCTTAAAAGCCAATTATAACTGTGGCTCGGTTCACTCCTTCTGTGGACAAAAAAAATAATAATAATAAAAATCAGCTCCACATATTTGGCATAGCATCTTCGGTGGGGGAGCTGTTTCCTCAATCGATTAGTAAAAACTCAATAATGGAGCTTCAACCAGCTTCTGGTGGGTCCCATTGGGTCAACCTTTGATCGGTTTATCTCCAAATTTGATTTTCAGGTTGACCCTCAAGCTAAGGTTTGTGATTTCATTCTCCCGTCGGGAAGCTGGAATAGAGAATTACTCCACAAATATTTTCAGCTGATGTCATTAACAGAATCACTACAGTTCCTCCATGCGTTAACCAACATGAGGATATATTTTGGTGGAGAGCAGAGCAGGGAGTGATGGGAGGCTTTCGGTTAGTGCTGCTTACAAATTCCGGGAACGGAGAGTGTCTACTACTTGGGATCCGCTATGGAAATACTTATGGAAGTGGTCATTACTGGAAAAGTTGAAATTCTTCTTTTAACAAGTCTTACATAAGAAAATTTTAGTAACCAATTGAGAGCTAAGAAAATATTCACGAATAATGATCATTGTTCCTTTGAGTGTGGGTGTGAAGAGGGTGTTATTCATTTTTTGAAAGACTGTTTGAAAGCAAAAAACTTGTGAAAGATTATGTCACGTACCACCAAAACAAGTGTGAATGGTAAGAAGAACAAGATAAACCTTGCTTCGTGAGCCTAATCAATTTATAATGTTTCTAATTACACTTAAAAAAAGACTTCATTAATATAAGGACAATTAATGTGTATAAAATTCAATAGTAACTCCTTCAAAAGTTGGATTATTATTATTTTTAAAATGAAAATGTTTAAGACAGTCAATCAACTTTAGGTGGAACAAGTTATAAGAGTTCTTCCCTCAATCTTTAAATAATTCAAATCAAAGAAATGGAAACCTTGCTTATAATTTTATAATAATTTATTTTTACAACAAAATCATAAAATAAATTTACCATGAATACAGCTTAAACCCAGCAATTACTACAACTATCAAACAAAGGATCCTCTTTCTAATGAAGATGAAGGAGGTGGTATGTTTCTATTATCTGAAATGCAAATAACTTAGTAAGTTCACAATAGTAAGGTTCATTATTAAAATATTTAAGATATAAACAAATAAATAAATACTGAATCTTGTTTAATTTCCTCAAGATGAGAGCCACACCTTGATAATTTGAAATCTTTAAAACACTTAAAGCACTTGTAAATCAATATGGTTACGCATTTGTAACATTGAAGATAAAAATTAGAACAAGATTTTTTTAAAAAATATTTTTAATTCAATAATAAGATTTTAATAAAAGCAATTTTCTCAAAAATTAGTTTTTTTAAAGGAATTGACATGGTGGAACAGTCCTCAACCCACTTTCCTAGAGGTCTTTTAGATCGGGTTCCAACACTTCTCAAGGAGCCTAAGCTGGCTTTCTCCAAAGTGATATTTGGATTATTCTTCACCCCACCAAAAAGATCTTTTAAAACTTTTCTAAACTTGAATCTCCAACCTCTACCACCTTAAGAAAGTTAAGGTTAAATCTGGTACTATTGAGTCAATTTCACTTTTTCCCCTTTTTTCCATCGTTATAATAATTGTATTTCTTTTATTTTGAATTGATTTATGCATTGCTTTATGTTGTATTGTATGAAAGGTCCTTACTTATCTCATGCTTTATTTTAATCATAACATATTTATGGAAGGTCTTTGAACCTTAATTAATCACTTATATTATACATATATGTTCATTCTTTTTATTTATTTATCTTATACTTTTATTTATTTTTTGCAAATTAATTTTATGATTTCAAGCAGCAAAAAATCAAAATAATGATGGTGATCAATTAATCATCTTCATGATTATATTAGATGCATTATTTAAATCTTCATGGAGAAAATTCATCATCTAATAGCAAGTAGCAAACATATAAATATCTCAAGTCTAAATATTCAAAATTTCAAATATTACACTATTTAAAATTAATACTTATATTCATAGTTCCACACACACACACACATTCAAAACATAATATCCATCTCTCAATGTCATAATATCCACTTAAACTATACCAATTGTCTATTATCCTAAAAAGAACTAATATATTTAATTATAACTTGTATTTAAACAAAAAAGAGACATTCATATGTTTAAAATTATCCATAAAAGTCATTCCATCTCAAGCATCAATCTATTATTATCTAAGGTATAACCCCTGCAATGAAGGAGGAAAACAAGTTGACACATGCATAAAAAAAATATTGGATTGGTTTACTAGGTTGGGTGATTGGGTGTTGGAATTAATTAAATAGATATTATATAAATAAATACTATTTTTTAATCAGGCTTGGTTCAAGTTCAGTTCAATTTTCAGATCTTAAAACTGAAACTAAATTGAATCAATTGGATTGTATGTCATAAAAATAAAAAAAAAACTTGATTAATGGTTGATTTTTGTCAGTTTATTTTAGTTTGGGTCAATTTGGGTTGGTTCTTTCAGGTTAGATTAGTTTTAAACACCCTTACTTCCGACAAAATAAAATGGGTTTCTCTTGCTTAGGGGATGGAACGTACAGATGTGGATGGATCTTTGAATATTTCAAACAATGCAGCATATGGAGAATTGGTCAAAAATGTTGAAGGCGAGTCGTGAGGAGGCTTTGTCAAGAACCTTGGTAACATTCCTATTCGTACTGCTATCAAGAAGGAAAGGATTTACTTAGATTCTGTTGGGGGTGATAAATCTCATTCATGGAGAGGCGCACCGATCACCCTTTTTATAAGGATATTTCCTCTGTGCAAGAGCTGGTTTTTGCGCGTAAGGATTATAAGATTTTCCATGCTCCTGGTGAGGTGATGTCATGCACTGACCATACGGCCAAATTGGCACATGATCAACCTAATTAACTAACTCAACTTTTTGATATTCTTGGAGTGTTGTACCCCTCATTTTATTAGACAAAAGTAGGGATAAGCTTATCCCACGGATGTTTTTTTATTTTTTATTTTTTTTGCTTGTTTGTACTCTTACTCCTCTAGCCACTTTCAACCAAAAAAGAACTAGGATAAAAATAAACTTCAAGATGTGTTGACAATTAGTGTATTCAAAAGCGAGTCAAACTAATTAATCAAATCAAGTCAATTAAAACTCAATTAGAAGTGAAATTAGATTCATTTTAGCTTTTTGTCATCCTAAATCAAGCAGTTCAGATTTAGTTCTTACTTCAATTCTGAGCATAAAAAACATGAATGACATGATCACTAGTCTTGATAAGCAGAAATTACATAAAAGACTAAAGGAACAATGAGGTTCAAAAGGAAATATTCACTATTCAACAACCTTAAAACAACATATATATCATGCTGAAGCCAATCATAGCCAAAATTAAAGCATTAACAATAGAGTTCATAAGGAGAAGAAAGAAACAGAGCAAAAGGTTCAAAGAGAAGAGAAGTAGAGTTAAAGGGAAGGCTGTTCACAAATTTCTTGACACCCTTTCTGTTGCTCTTCTTTAGCTTTTATTTGTCAATCCCATTCCCTAATTTCTACTACGAACTCAAGCCCATTTAGTAAGGCTTTGGGCTCATTCTTTCAATTGGGTCGATTCTTGACATAACCTCCCCCAATAAAATGGACCTCTTCCTCAAAGTTCAAGTTTGAAAGAAGAACTTGAAAAAAATTTAAAGATACACAAAAAGGCGGATCAAGACCATTTCAAGAGATTAGAATATGATAAACTGATGAAAAACAATTTAGTATCTAAAAGTAAATAGCTCTTTGTACAATGTCAAAAAATGATATATCACCCATTATAAACGTTAAACCAATAATATCCCTTGGAAAATCCTCAGGGTCCAAGGATGCATGCTTTAATAGAGTGCAAGGAAGCTTTAAAAGCCCAATAACTATACCGGAGATTGGACAAATGTGGTACCTAATGCAAAGTCCATATATGATTTAAAGAACTCCTTCGCACTATGATCCAAACAATACTTGGATGTTTTTCTTCCATATCACCGCCATTCCATGCAATTTCAACTTTGAAAGAAATAAGAATATACACCCACTCAAAATTAAGTAAAGTAGAGGATTTGTTGGCAAAATTCCTCAACACCGTCATGAATATTATATACTCCACCCTTGTACTTGGGTCGCACGTGTTCTTGCAATACACAATTGCTTTTGTTATAGTAATTTCCTTCAACAAAGTAATAGAACATGCAGCAAAAATTCCAAGAGCCTAAATGTGATAAGTAGAATGGAAAAATAGGAAATTTGGATGAACTCTATAGACATGCAAATCATGTGGCAATATAGTAGCAAATATGCCTATTAATGCAAGATTTGAAATGAGCTCAACTAATAAAACACATGGAATAAACTGATATGTAACTCTGATAGAAGCAACTGTCCTTTCATTCGCATTTTGAATTTCCCACAACATAGTAACAAGGTCTTGCCCACCATTTAAAAGTGATTGGGACGATAGATATGATGGGTTACTAAACTTTATGCCAACTCTATAATGCTTAAGCCTAACTGTCCTTGAGAAACTTCCACTTGAGCTTTAAGGGCACATGAGAAAATGTAATAAATGAGCAATCTACTTCTCACTATATTCATCAAATGAGAGCTGAGTACATATATACAGGAATAGGAGTAATAATCTCTCCGAAAAATAAGGGACCAGTATCGGTCAATAGCTAGAATAAAGGTAATATCTAATTAAAGACAGATCTTACCCAATCTCCTAGGATAACGAATATTAAAAGGAATATTTACATATAATTATCTAATAATTACATGGTCTGACCACACTCCCTCTCAAGTTAGTGCATAGATGTCAGTCATGTCCAACTTGCATATACAACTATCAAATACTGGTCTATGTAGGCCTTTGGTCAGTACATCTGCAGCTTGTAGCTTTTTAGGGAGGTATATAAGACATACTACACCGTCTTCTACCTTTTCCCTTATGAAATGCCTGTCTATCTCCACGTGCTTGGATCTTTCATGCTGAACTGGATTCAAGGCCATTCTTATTGTAGCCTTGTTGT